TAAAGAAATGAAATGGAATGGAATGAAATGAAGTAAAATAGAGGGGAACTGAGCTTACTGACGTGAAGCTTAAATTATCAAATAGATTTTTTTTTTATCCCAAATTTCTCACGCCCTGATTGGCTGAGAGCCATTGTCGATTAGAGGCTAGACGTGCTTGTACTGACGACATCCTACACGCAATACACTTGTAAGTAAGAAACGTCGGAAAGAATGCTTTACAATATGTTTTTTATGGTCCCTTTTCTATGGCGTGCATCTTATCGAACATGGAATGGCGTCAGAATATGATCCAAATTTTGAAGTGAAACGAACGCTGCGCTCATTCTCCCACTTGAGTTTGGATCATATGTTAAGCCATTCCATGATCGATAAGAGTACACACCATAGAAAAGGGACCAGAAAGCATAATTGCTTTTTCGTTTTGGACCCGGAAGTCGTTTTCTATACGCGATGTGACGTCCCATACACCTCCCACATGTTCTAAGCCAAAAATGATTTTTTTACGAGTTGTTTAAAGTTTGACATGATTTTAATGCAATAAACAGGTTGCGATTTCCTCACGAAACCACGTCACTGGAAATCGCTTTTAAGACGACCCAATTTAAGAATTTTCAGGTGGGGGTGGGGGAATTCAAAAGTTCTATGATAATAGTAAGACGAAGTTTGTTTACTTCTCTGCGTCAAATAGATCCTTTTAATTCTCTTAAGGTGACTGGAGACCTTCAGGGGTAGGTTTCGTTTAAGACTCTCTGTTGGCAACACTTTAAACAAAACCCCATGAAACTATATATCGTTTTAAAGGTCATATTATAAAGATTCAGAAAATAATATTATTTGAAAGCGATTTTTTAATTTAAAACAATGCCGGAGCCTTAAACACAACTCGGGCACGTTCAGTAGAGGTGAACTAATGGACATGGATATAGCGCAAATAGCCAAAAGAATTTCACTATGTAAATAAGTAAAAGATAAACTACAAAAGTGTGTGAGCGATTTTTGATATTTTGCTTCATTAAAAAGTTATTGAATTTTAAAGTTGGAACGTCGAAAAATTTCAAAGCCGGTTAATGTTTTATCTCATAAAAAAAAAGAAATACTGAAAATATCAAAAATCGCTCTAAAACCTCAAAAAAACCTTTACAGGCTACGACAGATGTTTTCAAACTTTAGCGCAACTACGACTTCATTTGCTTTCGCATCTGATAGCGGCAATTTCAACAGCTGCCTGAATGGTCTCAAATAGGCTGCCGTAAGCTAATAGGCTAATCTTACTACAGCTGTCATGGACTATGGGCCATTCGTCTAGGCGAATCAACGTCTTCGGTGTCTTTCTTGCAGAAACCAATGGTTGCTTTGGCATTCTGGATTCCACTGGACACGACACAGCCAGCACCACTCGTATCTACACCGGGTACAAGACATATGGTTGCACCCACCTAAGCAATAACAAACGTCCCAGTTTAAAACGTTTGCACGTTAAATTTAATAGTTGCATGTCGTACATGACAAGAGCAACGTCTGAACCAATAGTCCCCTTCACAGCTCCCGGCGCCATCTTGAAAGGTGACCGTGCCTTTGCATCGAAGCGATACGAACGGTGAGCTTGCAATGATAGAGACCTGAACACCTTGGACAATTATTCACATATCTCTAACATTGCAACGAAACCTAATTAAAAACGAGAGGAAGCAAAAAAAGAAGAAAAGAAGAAAAGAAAAAATGAAAGAAAAAAGCATAGTCTTGTGGTAGAGACAGCAGTGAAAGGAAGATGAAGAGTTAACAGATTAAAAAARAAGCTTACCACTTTTTTCGGTGGGCACTTTGCAGTTTGGACATTCTTTACTAATCTGGCTGATCAGAGTTTTCGCCTCTTGGTTTTGTTGCTCCCAGCATGCTCTTCGCGCACTGTCTGCAGATACTTGGTAACGCTGTATAAGGTTAAAGGAACAATTACGTCATAGACCCTTTTCGAATTCCAAATTACCGCTGTGTTTCCTGATTACAGACTCATTTGCTCAGGCYWAGCCTCGWATCAGTGTCTAAWTAYTCRCAAATACCAACGGTAAAGTAAAGAATGCACAASTTCAACAATACAAACACTTTGAAACTTGACGGACCTWGACTGGAACACGTGAATATTCTTCACAAAATCGAGGCTAAGCCTGAGTAAATGAGTCTGTAATCAAGAAACACAGCGGTAATTTGGGACTCGAAAAGGGTCTATTGGGAGCATTTGAGTATTATGCATTCTGAGGTTGAGTAAAGAACTGGGCTGAGTTGGCCTTGCAGTGCATTTTGGGACTCTCTTAGGGGACAAAATACTCGCCGTCTCGGAATCGCTAACATACAAATAATAAAGTCTATTTTTCTGTCTCTCTCTCGTCGTTGGTCAAAGGGTGCCAAAGCTGGGTGATTTACTGGCTGGTTTACTGCTCATTCGATGCTAAGAATAAAACCAGTTTCGACTCGAGAAACATTCAAGTTGTCGTCTCGGGGCCACAAGACGAGCTGCTTCCCTCGGTCCCAGGAAATAAGTGAGTTGTGAGTTGTGTGCATAGAAGCTTGAATGTAGCGGCAGTGAGTGTGAGTGAAAAGTGTCCCCAATTAGTGCGAAAACGCTAAAACCCCTTTTTCGCGCAATAAATTCGTATTACGGACATTTCACTTAACAACAGCGATCGCCTAGTCGTAACGGTAATGCCAAATCATGCATAAGTAAGCAGATCGACAAATATGCTTTTAGAGACGTATTTTATTTGCTATAGCTGTCCACAGCAAATTTGGATTACTTGCATATCCTTGACTTTAAAATGTCAATAGTTTCAAAAAATATAATAAATCTTTAAATGAGACAAAGACACGGTGCCACTGTTGCGGGCAACAGTTTCTTATATGAATTTACACGCAGCGAATTTCGTCTATACTGAAAGCTACTTAAATATTTCCCTAATGCAATCTAACGATGGAGTGCACTTATCGCATGAATTATTTAGTGTGTAGCCCAAGAAACTTTGATGCTTAACCTGGTTTTGTTTAATTTATCAAACTGAGTTTGCTACCAGTCGTTGCATGCAATTCTACACAGTGTCACTGTCCCTTATTAACTTCCTGGTCGTCCCTGGGAATAGAGGTTTTGCACCATCACGTGCCCATCCCATTATACTACTTGGGCTGCCTGTGGTTAGATGGCAGAACAATATAATCCCTCTGCTCTTGCTCTTGTGAATTGAATACTTTCTCATGTAAAATGATTGTATTGTTCCTGCCATCTAACATGGCTGCCGTCACGTGGTGGTGCAAAACCTCGATAGGTCACTTGAAGTAAATCTTCAATTACTACGACTAGCAGACACCCTTACGTACTTTCTTTTGTTTAGTTAATAGCCATCAATTGTCTTAATATTCTAATGAGGAAATACAAATTTGAATATAGAAAGAAAATATTTTGGTAGTGGTAGTAGAATGATGCCATTATACAAACGGCCTATTGTTCTTACACTTTGACGAGAAGCCTCAKCTGATGGCGCTTGTCGTTTATTACATTTGTGACCCTTTTGGTAAGGCTCTTTACACTCACGACAAAACTCCCCCTGAAATAAAAACGATATTTCTATTAATAACAGTAATGAACTACTTTGGCGATCTCCCGTCTTAATTCAACTTTTGTTGTAATTTTGTTGTATTAGCATTTTTGTTCTCCAGCTTCTTTGTCAAGTTGGCTGCGCGCGGCGATGGCGTCAGAATCATGTTCCCACAGTCCGAGATATGCTTCGCTTGTCACGCACAAAGGTTTCAGTACGAGGCTACGTGCTGAATTAAATTTATTCTAAYCGCCTGTCACGAATAACTGAGCATTTAGCCTTTAGCCTCATACTGAAACCTTTGTGCGTGACAATCGAGGCATATCTCGGAAGTGGGCTATTATACAGCACAGTTTTTCATCAAATAGCGCGTACACTATCTAAACGTTATATAACGCAGAATTGCAATTGTGGGAGGATGATCTGAAAACGTGTTGGCATTTCTTCTCGTTTCTAGACGTGATGAATAACATAAAATAGTTTCTTTTAAGTTCCCTGCGCCATATTGAAAGGTAACCGTGCCCGTAAATCGAGGCAAGAAGAGCGTGGACCTTGGAATGAGAGAGACCTTTTAACACTTTGGGTAATTATTTACATGTCTCTATCTCTGCAGGGTCACCACTGTCCTTGTTTTGAGTCACAGGCACGGTTAGCTATCAAGATAGAACAGGGCAGAAACTGTGAAGGGGTTGTTACCCTCTCCGGGGGGGGGAGGACTCCGGGAAAAAAGTACCGGGGATGCTCGTCGGAAATTTTCAAAAAGACCCCTAAAAGATACCGGAAGTCTTTAAAAAAAGGCGTGKCTGAATGGTTTTTAGCCCCTAAGAGATATCACAACAAATAATATTAAAGTTTAAATAAAAAGCGCCTAGGATAAGCCATATCGATGCGCGCTTCTCTCCTTTTCCGACACCCTAAGAGATACCAGAAAATGCTGACTTTCAAAAATTCGCATTTAACTCCCTAAAAGATAGCAAATCGCGAATTTTTACCCCTAAGAGATACGACGAGCATCCCCGGTACTTTTTTTGCCGGAGTCCCCCCCCCCTCCCCCCCCCGGGGTTACCCTTTCTATGTTCCTAGTACTACATATATATACTTGCTGTAGATACCTACCATACAGCCTCCTTCACAACGTATTGTTCTCGTGCCCCGTGCTGGGAACAGGCCCATTCCACATCCACGACCAGGGCAGAGAATACCTCCCATCTGAAGTACACATTCTTCGGCTCCAAACTTTTGATATCTTTCATACTAAAACGATACATAATTAATCAAATATATGACTAGTACATTAAACACGAAATTGATTGCGAAACATGCGTCTTTCCCTCTCAATTTACCAAATAGACCACTAAATGAGGAGTAACCAAACAAATAACTGATTCTTTTTACGCAAAGTACTTTTGCTGCTCCAGCTACCTTGATACCCTTGTCTAGACCTACAACACCCTTGTATAGACCTACACCACCCTTGTCTAGACCTACACCACCCTTGTCTAAATCTACACCACCCTTGTCTAGACCTACACCCCCCTTGTCTGGACCTACACCCCCCTTGTCTGGACCTACACCCCCCTTGTCTGGACCTACACCCCCCTTGTCTGGACCTACACCCCCCTTGTCTGGACCTACACC